GTGGTGAACAGGACTGTGATCGCATTTCATGCCTTATAGGGGAAGCGATAAACGTCCTGGCCCACCATTGAACAGGGCTATTCATACCTCTCCGCCATCTCATCATGAGAAGGTTGACAGTTATGAACACCTGAAGGTGTGTAGAATCCTGAAAGGGATTTTCCTTGAAACACCCTTTAGCCGAGATACTCTGAGACGTGGGATGTGTCATAGGCGACAGCACATATTGAGGCCCGAGGGGAGAATCACTCTCTCTACTTGGCAGACCTCTGTGATGCTCCTGGCACTGACCAGCACATCCAAGTCAGCAGACCTGTCCCAACTGGACCGTAGGTTGAGGAGATACCTCCCGGAGGGAGTGACTTTCCAGCCAACCAAACAGTCCCGACAGTCCAAACCGCTGGCATACTTCTTCCCAGCCTTCACAGCAAACCACCAGCTGTGTCCCGTGACTACACTCTGTGCATATGAGGATAGTACTCGGGAATACAGAAGGGAAAAGGGGTCGAACCCCCTATTCCTCACCTCAATCAGGCCCCACGTTGTGGCTTCTAGCTCAACGATAGCCCAATGGCTTAAGAGCACGCTGGAGAAGGCAGGTCTTGACACCCACATCCTCAAGGCACACTCGAGGAGCTGCCACAACGGCAGCCTCTAATGCAGGAGTCACGACATGTGACATTCCCAATGCGGCAGACTGGCGCACTTCATCAGTGTTCCAATGGTTCGCCGTCCAAACAGACTGGGTTTGGCAGAGCCGTCATCAACCCAGTCACAACTACATACACACATGATTTGTAAGACGGACCCTTCTGAAATAAGAAGAGCATGTATCCAAGAAAGAGCTTAAATCGCATAATCGGTACTTGATTTATTCAAAAAAGGCAGTTTTCAAAATTGTTCTTGTTGTTGTTGTTGTTGTTCAGTTTAGACAAACGTATCTCAAAAACCACTAAGATATGGAGATGAAACTTTGCACAAAGATTTGAATCCAGGACTCGGCGTGCAAAAGTGTTTAAATTTTATCGTAAACAAGTAAAAAACAAAAAATAAACAAAAATAGCACCAGGCCATACATTATGATATAGACCAATAAGTAAGGTAGATCCTCAGGATATAAAAAAAACTTGTAAAATGTGTTTATGCCTATAACTTGCTTATGGTGGTTCCTCTAACAATGAAACTTGGTATACTGATGTACCATCAGAGTTCATCGAAACAGAAATTACACAAGTTTGTAAACAACAACAAACAGCCTCAGGCAATAAACAGTATGCGAGCAGGCTGTTTAGTACAGGCTGATTTACTGAATTCAGTGTTACGAAAAGGGCTAAAAATAAAACCAGTGTAGCACTGAACCTACGTTACTCTTTAGCCATCTTGTAGCAAGCATGCTGTGGAAGACGTGGCAACAGACTGACAGACACACACACTTACAAACCAGGTGTATACCATAATCATTGGCAGCTCATGCACGCCAAGGGTTACATATCAAAGATAAGCCAAAGGAAAAAAGCCACAAAACTTTCAGCCTCTACATACCTATCTATACGTGAACCTAATTTATATCCTACTGCTGCTGGATAGCACTGTAGTGAGTTGGGCACAAAAACGTACAAATTACAACTGTTACATTCCAGCAAAACCGCAGTCGCAAGGAGATTTGCAGGTCACTTCCAAGAGACAGTGGGCATAACCCATGGTAACAAGCATAGGCTCCCAAGCCAGTCTATCGTTTGCTGCAAAACCACACAAGATTTTAAGTGCAAACCGACAGGTAGCATACCAGATTATAATGAGAATTGTACGTCTGTTACGTTATTAAGGCACGGTGCACATGTGCAGCGAGGGTTACAGTTGGCCTGTCTGTCTGTCTTTCTCTCAGTCTACCTGTCTGTCTGTCTGTCTGTTACGTTTTCTGCCACAAATCGCAAGAACTTGGCAAAGAGTATATACATAGTAACAGGTTTGTTGTTACACCAGCTTCATTTTAAAATAGACGATTCTCATAAAGTACTGCACTCTGAGTTATAGCATAAACACAAAGTGAACAAGCAAAAATTATGCATATTAAAAGCACTTAAGTGCAAACCTCGGTGAACTACGCATGTGCGGTACCGCTAATAGGCTGGTTGGGGAGAGTGAGGGCAAGTTAAGTTCACAGATTTATCACATGTTTGCTGGAAATGATGTCTCGAAGCTTACAATCGTTGAGCAGTGCCGCAACCTAGAGCGTGCCTATGATACTAACTTCACTGGGGATATTCGGATGTCAGCAGACTCTTGGGAAAGAACCTTCTCTTTGCAGATAAAGAACTTAGAGTTAAGGCTCTAATACTCACCAGTCCCTCAAGCATCTCTCCGCCAAGCATTCTGAGATATCTTGGCTGAAGGTTTGGGACATGGTTTTAGACCATGGGCCTAGGGCTGCTTTTCGTCTGTTCGGTACTCTCTCTCGACTGCTCTTTTGAAGACGGGCTGTGCACTCGCTGGGACACTTATATTGCAGAAGACCTCACCTACTTGGAGCATTTAATAGACTGCCATCAAGAGTCTATTGAGAAAATATCACTGCTATTTCATCTTTACTGTTGGCCACAGACTCAAGACTCATCCATCCCTCCCTCTTAAACGTTAGTATTCATGTGTATGTGTATAATTTCCTCTGCGGCTAATATGAACGTTGGACTTTTGACTTGAATTGATGGGTTGGGCTATTAGTAAGTGTGTGTTTACTTGTGGTCTACACACTAGTAGTTCGTGGAGAGTCTGACACAGGCTAGCAAAAGTAAAAGATGGCATGCAGGAGTCTATACACGGCCTTTGTTGTGACTTCTCGTGCCTTCAAGATACACAGGGCGAGCGGACCCTGTTGAGGTACGTAAGCCTCTGCTAATTTCCATAATGGCTTTTTACTTAGTTTTCACGCCATAACTCTCGAACACAGTACTTTTACGAAAATCGCCACATTTAAAATCAAGCCAGTGTAGCACTGAACCTTTTGGCATCGCTTTTTTATTATCACGTGTGGTAGCAGAAAATATGGTAACAGACAGACGGACACAAACAAACCAAGTACCATGACCCTCATTGCGCATCCGCGCCGAGGGAATCAGAACTAACTTACGTCAACCGCATTCTGCCTGTGTGCACGCATGGTTGAGGCATTAGAAGGTACAAAAGAGGGCAAGTGTCGAGTTTTGCAATGCCTAAAATGCCATATTACCCGGGTAAGTCTCCAGAGAATTAGATAGAGACCTCAACTTGAGTAAATCAACAGCGTAGCCCAGCCCATAAATTAGCAGTACTAACCTGTGCATGCGTATGGGTACAATGCGTATACTCAAGACATCCGACAGTTCAGTAATATCAGCAGCATCCTACACATCTACATGCTCCAATTCTTCCGCAAGATGCTCAAACAGTTTAATCATAAAATCATTCACTATAACACAATTCCACATGAATGATGCATCATCACACAAAAGGCAGTCGTTTCACACTTCCTGTTAACCTAACTCCTCCTTTAACTCATGAGTTCCTGATCTGCACTACATATCAATATCAAACTAGTCCACTAGGTAATCCACCCCCATCATGGCATTAACTTGTTTCAGCGAAAGTTTCACCTTGCTATTTTAACCCCTCTTCAAACCTTACACCTTCTATCTACAAATTTGCCAATTAAAATTAAGCTAGAAATGTGTGTTGTCAGCGTGAATGAAAATCATGCCTTTATTGTTAGGGCCCACACAAAGTAGTTCATCCATGCCTTGGTCTTTTGTGTAACCTGCTACAACAATAGGAATGTTTCCTTGCAAATGTAAATTTTACTTTATGCACATACATGAAAAACTCGATGGTCCCCTGATAGTTGTGTGTGTTTCTGCAGCAAATTCCACGTCAAATATCTTGAAATGAAAACAACTAAAGTGGAAACCCTGGGTGAATTACGCATGCGCGGGATCCCTAATTGATGGGCTCAGCTATGATTATATGCGTTTACTCGTGGTCTGCCGCTCTAGTTGCTAGTGGAGAGTCCGAAACGGGCTAGCTACAATAGTAGGTAGCATGTAAGAGTCGATACACGCCCTTCGTTGTGTTTTCTTGTGCCTCTAAGGTACACAGAGCGAGCGGATCGGGTCGAGGTAAGCCACTGCGATTGTGCATATTGCCTGTTTCGCTTGTGTTCACACCATATTTCCTGAACATAGTCATTTCAGGAAAAACGTAATGTTTATTTTCAGGCTCTCATAGCCGTTGGTATCACTCATGGGCCCCTGTAGTGCCAGAAAAGGTGGTGACAGACAGACACACACAGACAAAGTACTGTAACCTTCGCTGTGCATGTGCGCCGATGGTTAATAACACTCGAGGAGGCATACATTTTTGCTTATTGCACTTGAATAGAAGCAGCTACAAATGCAGTGTGTATGGGGCAATATGCGTAACTAACATCTTAATTTTTGTACAGAAAGTGTTCTCAAAAGGGTACCCTTGCATCGATAGACATACCCACAGATAGACATTGTTGTGCTTAGAAGAAATGTTACCCTTGTCTTAAGCTAGACAAGGGTGTCAATACACATACACTCTAAGGGGAATATCATCTGCTCGTACATAAATATTTGTGTGAAAGTGTGCGCTTGCAAAATCTGCTTTCTCGCAGAAGAAACTGCATCTATGTGAATACTATTTATCTGGACTCATATTTTGCAGTGAAGTTACTTGTATCTCGTTATGCCTACATACACCAACGGACAGTGCTATTCAGCCCATCGCTCTTTGCCTACGTGAGCGCTAGTATTCCTCTTGCTCCAACAATGTGCCCAATGGTTGCGACGTGACACATGGTGTAGAGTTCCACAGACACAACTGTTAGTTGTGGAGTGTGTTCCACTTGCTTGTTTAACCCAATTTTTACGTGAGCTGGCTACTTTTTTGTACTATACACAGTCCATGGGACATGAGAGGACACATTTGTAAAGAACGCAACTCACTGTATCCTTTTTATTTCCACTACAAACCCTGAACAACAGCATGAGGCAAAAAACTATAACTGGGAAGAAATTTACAAAAAATAACAAGTTGATTCAGTTTGCATACATCGAGCGGTTTACCTTCATCATTTCCACAGCTAAATCGAGGATTACAAACCATCCCCTACACCATCACACATGGATCCTTCCCACGCATGCGTAGAGCCCGTTTTAAGTTCGGCGGACACACACATCCGCGTAACGCGAATTTTTACTGCGCTCCCGCTGGGCTGCGAACGAGAACCGCTGGCGGGTACCAACGGGCGACACACCGACGCCACTAAATCTATCTCGTACACGTCATTTGTGTACCGCGATCTATCTCCTCTCGATCGGTGGAATCGATCAGAGGAACTGGATCAAGTGAATGCTGGTATATACGGGCGTGATAGAGCGGTCTCTTAAAGTGTGGAATAAGACTTTCTCACTTCTTACTGCCTATCGTAAATGTGTCTCCCCTACCTTTCCACCCACCACCTTCCAATGAGGGTTTGAACGGTTTTGCTGCCAAATGAACGAAGGAAATTACTAACCAACCTTCTTTAGTTTCAATCAAGTTAAAAGCTTGGAATTACACTCACTTCTCATTCCACTTTTGCAGTATGCTCTGCTGGTGAGGGCCAACAAGCCCGAAACAGCTGTCCAGAGCTCCACATGTTTTTTCTCTTGGCATCACATGGTATTTTTTACATGTGTCTCCCAACCCTTACCTACCCTTATTCACACCACCTTCCAATAAGAGTTTTAACAGTTTTGCATTTTTTTCAGGAAAAAAATGAATGAAATTAGGAACCGCGACTGAATGAAATTAGGAACCAACCACCCCTAACAATTTTTCTATAGTTAAGTGTGGAATAAGACTCTCGCACTTCTAACTGCACCTTTGTCTACCATACATGTGTCCCCTACCCTTCTCTCCACCACCTTCCAGTTTGAGTTTTAAAGGTTTTGCATTTTTTGCTGGAACGTGAATGAATTAAATTAGGAACCAACCAACCCTAACAATTTTACTATAGTTAAAGTGTGGAATGAGACTCTCGCTGCACCTTTGCCTATCATACATGTTCTTCTTTCCACTACCTTGCAGTAAAGGTTTTAACGGTTTTGGTTTTATTACTGGCACATTAACGAAGGAAATTACTAACCAACCATCATTAATAATTTCAAAGCATCGAATTACACTCTCTCACTTCTCATTGCACATTTGCCTATAATACATGTGTATATCAACTCTTATCTACCTTTTCCCCCCGCAACCTCCATATAAGAGATTTACCTTTTTTGCTTTTTTTTGCAGGCACATGAATCGAACCAACCACCCCTAACAACTTTACTATAGTTAAACTGTGGTTCCACCTTTGCCTATCATACATGTTTCCCCATACCCTTCTCCCCACCACCTTCCAATAAGGGTTTTAACGGTTTTGCATTTTTTGCAGGCACATGAATGAATGAAATTAGGAACCAACCACCCCATAACTATAGTTAAAGTGTGGAATAAGACTTTCTCACTTTTCACTGCACCTTATCGGTACTATTATCGTTAAATAGTGTTCTCTTCTGTCCTATCATCGAGACGTCAACTCAACCCTCCGCAATTATGTGTTCTCGATTTGCGAAACTGCACCTGTAGAGCGGCATGCTTCATCGTTCTGTAAGTCACAACGATGTTCGCATGGTTACTGAGGAGGTTGCGGTAGCTTCGAATATGTGCGATACGGCACCCCAAACTCGAGCTTTAATCCATACCTTGTAGGCCTGCTTTTCTCGCGTCACCTTCCTGTTCATGCACCGGAGGTTATATAGTTTGCGTCGACACCACCGGCCTGTTAACTAATTTCGAACGTGCCTGAATAGGTGCTGCTATGTGCAACCTCTGCATGAGCAGTGGGTTCGAGGAAAAGTCGAAGTTCTGCGTATGGTAGGTTCGGTGACGATTTTTAACCGAATAGCTCTCACTTGGAATTGAGCTCACCCGGAAGCTCATATTCGAAAGTAGTCGAGTGCTGTCCCTATAGCGAGCTGCAGTTTATACGT